TTAAAAACCAGTTGCATAGTGGGTTTTTTTGGTGTGGTGTGTTTTGTCAGCACTGCTGCTAACTTTGTACTGGTGTCTCAGACATGGCTGTGACTTTTAGATGTCTGTGTTCTGACCCTGCCAGCTGTTGGGCTTGGGTAGGTTACCGGAGGTTTGAATTTGAGTCTAGTTCATCTAACAACTTGATTTCTATATGGGTGCTGCACTGTTGGTGATTCTGCACACTGTACTTGAGGAGGTATCCAAAGATCTTATCTATGCATAGTTTAGTGGTGCCCAGTCTTACTACATGGGAGGGCCACGTAAACCCAAGCACAGCCTTGTGTTGGTCAAACGAATGCTACAGATTTTAATAAGATTTAAAGTCCCCTGTATTGATACTTAAATCCAGTTTGTTTGGTATGTATTTAGACAGGTTGTGTCTATGTATGGTATGTTAACAAAATGACGTAAACCTGATGATTCAGCCATTAGTATATTGTAGCAGGCTTTATGAAATGCTCTTTTAAGCCACGTACAGTCTGGGGTCTGTAGGTCAGGCACACCTTAAATATATTCATTTGAGTCCTGCTGTACTTAAATCGATACAACGCCAGCATCGACACTGTTGTAAATGTGATATATTGGTACAGATTATTTCCATGCATTTAATAAACTGTACCCATACAAAGCACTACCGCCTCTCTATGGGATATATTGATTTAACAGTTCAGTTTAAAAAACACACACACAAACCTCACCCCAAGTGAAACTTGATCGGCTTTAGGCGTGGTCTATGCTGTTTTTGTGCTGGAGACTGGTCCTATGTACAGGGTCATTTGGGGGAGGGAGGGCAAGAGAGCCATTTGGCCTGGGCCTCAAACTCAAAGGTGGGGGGGAAAGGGTCTCAAATTTAGACACTTGTTAATTGAAAGCTAGATTTTTCCTCAATGATTAGTGTATTTGCACAGAAGAGGGCTAGAAAAGCACTTATCACAATAAAAAAAATCTTCAAATTGTTTCTCTCTTGTGCCTTATTTTGTTCCCATGTTTGTCATTTTAAAATGTTTATTATGCCTAAGAACCTCAAATTTGTAAGTGGCCCGGGCACCTCTGGACATCTGAGGGGGCGTGCCTATGTACATGCTCTGCTGTATTTAATACATAAACTTTCAGTTTGTCAAAAAGGAAATGATATGCATGGAATAGACACTGTGCTGGAGAGAGCATTAATCCCTTGTTTGTCAGTAGAACAGATCTCTGAGTGAGTTACTGCTTCAGTGGTGGGTGGGTGTTTGGGTTTTTGTGCGTTGGTTTTTTTTAATTGCTTTTCTCCTTTCTCCTTTGTGTTTGTGCTGAAAAGGGAAACAACCCACGACACCTCCATATAGCTTGGCGTTGTGTTTGTGCAAGCTGTTAGCTCTCTTTGCCACGGTGTGCTGGCAGCCAGCGCTTAATTCCACATTTTGAAACCACAATAACAGCAGAGAGGGCTGCAGGTCTCTCAAGGACACCTTCATGGTAGAAAAAGCACACCTGAGGGCTGTTTCCATTGTAGTTCTGTAAGTTCAACTCACCAGAGTTGAAGTGGGAAACAGCCCCATGCCTCAATGTTTTATGCAGACAATTGTAAATATTTCAGAAGAGGAAATGAGGCTCTGCGTGTAAGCAGAGCAAAATGTTTTGATGTGCCAGTGACTCCTGCTGTTAAGGTTGAAATGTAACTTGGGCCATAAACCTTCATTTGCAGTTACTCGTGACTATAGCTAGCAAACTCTCTTGGGGCTCAAATTTTCCATTCTTTAGCAGGGACCAACAGTAATCTGGTTGTTGAAATCTTTAGTGAAATGTGTTCTGAGCTGATTTTGAGTTCAGTAAGTGTATGTTAAACTTAAAAACAAAACGAGAAAACCTCCTCCCACGTATGCTGCTAACAAACTGGTGTGCATACCTAGTTCCAGCGTCTGACTCAGTTCTGTTCAGACTGGGCTTGTTTGGTAGGTATGCGTGATCGCTTTAAAAAACTGGAGCCAAGCTGAAGGCAGTTTGGTCAGTGCCTTAGAAGTTAACAACACTGAGGCTTTTTTTCTTTCTAGCCATGTGATGTACAACCGTTGGTTTGGGGGTTAGGCCAGGAGTACTGCAAAGCGCTCCAGATCAATCCAGACTTGTAAGGGTGGAGGTTTTCCAAAGGCCGACTTTCCTTGGAACTCAAGTGTGTTAACTCCCTTTGCCATTCCTTTTAAAACGCCCATCTAGAAAGTGCAGAAAACCTGATACCCAGGGAAGATGAGGCATTGAGAGGGAGGGGGGGGGGGGGATATGAGTTAGGGCAAGAGTGGGGAACCTTTTTTGGGTCAGGGAGCCTCTGTTTCATAGAAAAATCAGTCAGGGGGGCCACACACATGAACTAACACAACAAAAAAAGCCCTCACTGACATAGCCCCAGCTGAGCGGGAGAAAGACACTCCCCACATTCCCCTTGCACACCAGAGCCGGGGGGCTTAGGCTATTAGATTTTGTGCCCCAGCCCCATGGAGGGGCTGGGGAGCACTGATGCTTGGGGGCTGTATCGAGGCAAGCCAGGGACCACATCCAGACCCATGGCCTTAGGTTCCCCATCCCTGGGTTAGAGAGAGCACTAGTGGTGAGGATCCACACTCAGGAGCTCTAATGCTGCCTCCCTCATGCTGAAGAGAGAGCTTTCCTGCCTCTCAGATGTGCCCATACCCCTTGCTACTGTCAAGCTCGCTCTTGAGCTGCTGACTGTTTTTGCTTGGTAGATGGGAAGAGACTTCACTGCCCAGCAGTTGTGGCAGATCAGTTGTCCAGAGTACTGGCGCTAGAGAACCATACAAATGCAGGGCTGGAAGGGACCTCAAAAACTCCTCTGGTTCACCCCTAGTGCTGAGGCAGAACCAGGTAAACCCAGACCACCCCTGACACTTATTCGTCTAACCTGGTCTTAAAAACCTCCACTGATGGGAATTTCTGATGGACGAGCACAACCTCTGGGTGAGTAAATGTGAAGCGGGGGGGCTCAGTATTGCAGTAGGATGCCACGCTCTGCTGATGCCCTTTTCAGATGCAGCGCATAATCTGTTGCACATACTGGGAGATAAACGAGATCAGGGCCTCAAAGGAGATCTGTGGGTATTCAGTGCCTCTGAAAATCAGGCCTATTGTTGGTTTGAATATGGAAAAGTAGATGGGGGAGGGGGGGAAGAGTGGTATGCATGTACGTTATAACACCTGCTGTGGGTTAGGGCAAAAATAAGGTTGCATTGATTCTTAGGACCTCTGCCAGCTGTTGATTAGGGCAATGTATATTAGAGTAAATATCACAGGAGTGGATTATTATACCTTCAGCTAGTGGCCATATATTTACCTAATGCCTCGGAGTCTGGAAAACACCTGGGATCTATGGGTTAACACTGTGGTATACTTTCATTTTGCAGTGCAAATGTAATGAACCATAGATGGCCAAAGCTTTGGTGCTTTACCCCTGCAGCCAAGAGACACAGTGTTTCAGGTTTCCAGAATTCACATGATCAGGAATGGCAAAGAATGTCTCTTAATAGAGTGTTTGTATCCACACAGCTCAGTAATTGGCAACTTCATTCAGAGGAGGAGACTTACTCGTTAAGCCTTAAAGTGCCCTTAGTCTCTTGTGTTTTTTCCTGTGAGATAACTACACCTGCCACGTTACCAAATCCTGCACTCACTTAAACATTGTAGGATATAACATACTAGGTTCACAGTAATTGAAGGAGGTTAGGGGGGAAGCGATCTAGATCATAAAATGCATCTCTTGTGGCAGCTCTTCAGAGTGTCTTAAAACGAAGCCAGGAGTATCTGATGGTTACTAAGGAACCATTGTTACAGCAGCAACCCAGCTGTGAATGATGTGGTTATTCTAGCTATCCTGGGACACTTCCAATGAGGCTGGACAATAATCCATTCTTCTTTAGTTACGTCAAATCTGTCATCTGCCTGGAAAGGAAGAGGTCGAATTACTTCACGTAAACAGTGCAGATAATGGAAAATGAATATGTATCCGAAGGACACGACCTCCTCTTTAGACACATGAGGTTTTTGGAGAATTGGGCATCGATGGCCTTCTCTCCCAGGTGGTGGCACGTCCGTGACTTCCACAGGAGCACGCTTTGCCGTCTCTTTAACCATGGGAACTGCATTGTGGGTTTCTTGAGCATCCTGCTCACGCTTCAGTGACACGCAGAAGATGGAGGTGGTTCTGTTTTTTGAGGTTTGATTTATTGAAGCCTAAACTTAAGCAAGAGGAGGTGTTACTGTAGGTCACGCAAAGCTGTTCCTTAGCTACATGAAAACCACAAACCCCATGAAGATGATGTACAGAGCTGATGGAAATATGCTCTTGGAAGTTAAATAGATCTGAAACTTAAGCTCCTTATGGGTAGAACCCCTCCTGTAGTTGAAAAGGTCACTGCAGGCGTAGGGACCAAGGGATTGTTCTTGCAAGTTGCTGATTACACTTGAGTTGCATTGACTTTGGTCAGAGCAGAGAGTGCTAAGTGCTATACAGGATGTGGACCACAGTTACCAGTAACCATAAAATAGGTGTCATATTTGCTGAATTGCATCTTTTATCTGAATAGTGCATTTTTATGTAACTTTTGTTAAATACGAGGCTAGCATCTCCTTATGTAGCCTTTTCAGCCATAACACTATAGGATTGGAGCTCTTCAGTTTTCATACACATTCTAAAAGTCTGTCCTGCAGTTTTGCAGTCATGCTGTGGCTTAAGCCTGCTAGACTTCGAACTCCATGGGTGTGCCCACAAATCAAGGCAGGTGTTGTCAGATATGACAACTAAGAACCCCAGCTGCGAACATGGGAAAGTGGCTTCAGGTGGTGTTAAAAGCATTCCCGCTATCCCCTTCCCACAAACAGGTATTTGTTTCTCTGTAGGTTAATGTTCTGCCTTCTCACTTTTCAGCCATCAGCTTCCAGGTCTGAATGCATGTTTTTTCCTCCAACAGGATGTAGCCATTTCTCCAGCACAGCGGGATGAGGTGATTCAGTGGCTGGCCAAACTCAAGTACCAGTTCCACCTTTATCCAGAAACACTTGCCCTGGCCATCAGTCTCTTGGACCGGTTTTTAGCCACAGTAAAGGTAAATAATTGATGGATATGTATCTTGCAGTGGATGTGTACCCCCGCTCATGGCTTCGGAAGCTAGTCTCCTTGCTGCTGCCTCAGTGTAGGAGAGTGCACTTCCAGTTTACACATGCGCGACGCTTTAGATTTCAGATGCTGAGCTAGCCATGCCTGAACAGTATGGAAGGGTCTGTGGCAACAACACGCTACCGTGAAAGAACAATGTCTGGACTATGGCTAGGGCACCTAGAAGCCGCAGCAATAGAAATAATAGATGGCTTTCTGTACCAGTCTCATATTTTGATTTCGTGGGGCAGACCTTCACTTGATATCAGTCAAGACAGTTCTGTGGACTACAGTGGAGGCATGTCCATGTACCTCCGCTGAGGATCTGTCCCAGTGCCTACCAGTGTCAGGAATATTTGCTCTTCTCCCTGCTCTGACAGATTTCATTGGCATGCTGCAGCCCATCAATTTAACCCAAAAGAGGAGAAATCACTCCACCCCTTGAGAAGCTGTCCATGTTCTTGCTGTCTCTCTGGGCAGGTCTACACTAACCCCCACTGCCAATCTAATCAGTGTGACTTCTGTTATGCGACTAGCACAGCTGAAGCTGGTGTATTTAGTGCAGGATCTTGCATGCAGGAAGGTTGGTCCGTTGACACTGGCTAATCTCCTCCTCCTCCTGGCGGGGTGCTGGCATCAACTGGAGAGCTCTTGGAGTCTGATTTATTGCGTCTAAGCAGGCACAATAAATTGATCAGTGGATCGACTTGTTGCAGTGTGGAACCCTGGTATAGGGGAGACAAGCTCGCTGTTAACCTGGTTTGAACATTGAATTGGCCTTACCTAGCTGTATCCAAATATTGCCCCCTACGTACGGGTGGGTGTGGGTGTGTGGGGGGGGGGGGGGGCTTTAAAATCATGATGCATCCTCTGTCTTAAAAAAAAATAAAAATTATTACAGAAAAGCTCACTAAAATAGACTCTGAGGGACACTGCCTTTCTGGTAAGCCCTTCCTATACTCGCCTGTCCCACAGAAGGACATGGAGGGTCTGTTGAGTTACCTTCTATAATATTTAACGGAGACACTTGGCAGGTCTGAGTTTGTCTTGTATCACTTTTACCCTGGTGGTGACATCATGAATATAGTGTGGCATGCTAGAGTGCAAATGGGATCCATCTTAGTCTTTGATATGGTGAAATACTGACAGTGCTTAAACGGCAAAACACTGAAAAAGTGTTCTTTAAAGAAAGAAAAGCCTGTTACGGCACCTCCAGTGACTGGGTCCAACGCTGAATGGATAGATAAATGTATTATTTAAACCTCTAAATAGCAAATTCCCTTAGGATATGGTTGGGTGTTCATTATTTCTGTAGCTGTCGGAGGCTTTGACAGCCTAATAGAGGCTGCTGCTGTGAAAGTGGCACAAATGAGTACCAAAAGAAACTCCATTCTGTACTGTAAGGAGTGGTGAAGATAGAAAACACTGAAAGCAGTTTGGGAAGCAGT